AACAGAACCAGAGACTGGAAATAAAGAACAAACTGACAGTGACCAGACGGGAGGGGGAGGGGAGACCAAAGCGACACAGAGGACTCAGGGCACAGTGTGGGGGAAGTGACTGTGGGAGTGGGGGGGGGGGGCAGGGGAGAGGAGGGCAATGGGGAAAAAGGCCAGACAACTGTAACTGAACAATAAACTTTAAAAAATTTTAAGAACTTGGATAAATAAAAACAAACAAAAAAAAGCTTTCCCTGAAGCAAGACCCTCCTTAAGTGAGCATGTGGCTCCCCCTTGTGGCGAACGCTAACCTCACAGGCACAGACTGCTGAGGCCGGGCTTCAAGCCCCACCCATTCCGCCCGAATTCAGCGATACATTATAAACGACCCTGGCCCTGGTGGGGCGGCCCAGTTGGTTGGAGTGTCGTCAGGTACTCAGAAAGGTCACTGATTTGATTCCCAGTCATGGCACACACCTAGGTTATGTGTTTGATCCCCCATCAGGGCAGATACGTGAGGCAATGGATGGATACTTCTCTCCACCTTCCCCTCTCTCTCAAATCAATACACGTTGATTCCTTGGGCAAGAATTTTTTTTTAAATAATAAAATAAAATAACCCTGAATTACTAATGTTACTAAGTACACGCCATGCGGGCAGTAGTGTCCCATCCACTGGGGCTTTAGCTCAGCGGCCCCGCCTTCAGGAGGCGGCCACTGAAATCTGCCCACATTCATTTAAAAATCTGCCCAGATTAATAAAGGCCACGCAGGAAACTGCACCTTCTCACGCTACACCTCTCCTGGTCTGCCAACATGAAACACCACGCATGTCCCCCACCGCTTTAAGACTAAACACCACCTACTTAAAAGCCTTGTACTGATGAGCCAGTTTTGAAAGAAAAACCGCGTTTCTTCGGTCAGGCCAACAGCCACGGCCAAGTCTTGGAGCTGAGCCGGTGGCAGTGCGTAATCTGCAGTGAGGAAGAAGGGCCCTCTGCCGGACGTGAGGGCCGGTCTCTGGGATGATTCTCGTCCAGAACCAAGGAGGCAGTTCTGTGTCCGTCTCCGGACCCCCTTCCTCCTGCCAACAACCTGAACCGAAGCCACCATCTGCGACTCGTCGGAGTAGCAAAGAGCAAAATCCACACATCGTTGAGGTCAGGTGTGAAAGCTCGGTCCCAGGATTTTAGCAGTTTTGAAGCCCAAAGACAAACTCACGGCCCCCAAAAGGAAGCTGATAGAGAAAGTCATGCTGTGGTATCCTACTCATATCAAACGGCGCTAATGATCAAAAACAAAGTGGCTGATCCTGACATTCCAGGACCCTCTGTCGACAGTGTGACAAATGCAGGGAACAGACAATAATTCGAGCCAAGCACCCACGCTCCTGGGGTTACGATGGGGTTACCTCCCAATATGCCCATCATAGGTTACAAATATCATTAGGTTGAAAATGCATTTAATACTATGCTCTAGCGAGTTGGCTGTTTACTAAAGATCACGGGGCCAAGCCTGGGCTGCGCTCCTGTCCACTGTCCAGCATCAAGAGAGGGCCGCATGGCATATGGCGGCTAACCCAGGAACAGATCAAAATCCAAAACTCAAAATGCAGTTTCTACTGAACGCAAATCCCTTTCGCAACATCATAAAGTTGAAAGGTGGTACGTGAAGCACCTAAGTCTGGGACCACCTGTACACAATATTTACAGGGAACTGGAGGGAGGCATCTGGCTGATATTCTCGTTAGAGAATTCCTAATACAAAAAAGGAGCAGCTCATTCTGAGACTCCTACGTTTAAACATTTTTAAAGCCTGTGCCGTTGAACCATGCATGCGCTTCCACGGTGGAGCAGGAAATTCGATCTCAGTATGACAGCGAGTCCTGTCCGCCACTCACCCGGGTGCAGGGTGGACAGTGCAGGATTCCCTCGCTGCACTCTCGGTTTCTCAGAGAATTCAGACGTGTGTGTGTGTTTGTGTGTGTGTGTTTGTGTGTGGGGGTGGGTGGGGGGGTGGGTGTGTGCACTTCCCACATGTAGAACAAAGTGCCTGCATCGAAAATAAACCAGCTGCCCTCTTTTCTCAGACCATCCTCGCACCATAGGCTTTTCTGAACAGGTGTGGGTCATTGTCAAGTCTTGGGGAAGAGTGACAGGAACAAGAAGCAGTGCTGTGTCCTAGGTACGTGCTGTCCCTTTAGCTGTCCTACAAAGAGTGAGACTCCTCAAGGCACCCGAGGACTCAGCGGAGCAGAGGCAGCTATGCAACCGGGACGGTTACTTCCATGTCAGCCTGACTGGGTAAAGGGGTGCCTCTTGGCAAAGCGGGTGGGCACCATGCAACCTGTTGGGGGTCTAAGGGAACAGAAAGGGGGTCTAAGGGTGCAGGGAGGGAGAATGTACTCATTCTTTGCTGGCACCGGGATGTCCATTTTCTGCCCTTGGACAGTGGCACTCCCAGTTCTTGAAATGAACTACGCTAACTCTCCTGGGTCTCCAGCTTTCTGGGGGTGAAATGTGGGACTTCTTGGTCCTGGTAATCATGTGAGCCAACTCCCACCTTGTATCTACATCTATAATCTGTGTCTGTATCCATCCATCCGTCTGTATCCAACTGGTTCTGCTTCTCTGGAGAATCCTGGCTAATATAGCAACTTAAGTCAAAGGAACATAGAGACATGCTACTTTTGCCAAGTCATCTTAAACAAACCACAGGGCGGAGTGCCTGCAAACTGAAGTCTGGTGTAACAAGACAGGCTTCGAGAGTCAGAAAGCGGAACCTATTTCCCAATCTGCAAATCACTCACTCTTGGACAGCAGAAACAATTCTTAGTAGGCAGCCAGGAGAAGGGGTAAGGCCACTGCCTTCAGACAACTGCAAAGCATCAAGCAGTTCGTGGGAGAATTCCACTCTGAGCACGGGGGTGAGGCCCAGCCACCCTGGGCGAGTTCCTTCTATTGTTACGCACCTAAATGATTTCAAAAGTGACCTGTAAAGAGCCACTCAAGATACAACCGGAGCAAAACGGCGGCAGCGCCTGCCCTCGCTGCCTTGGGTAAGAGGTCAGTTTTCTGGAAGCAAGCACAGCACGCAGGGACTGCTCGGACCACCAGGCCTGGGCTGAAGGTGACATCACGCCTGGTCCAGCAGGACTGCCACGCCCCCTCACAAACTCAACCTGCAAAATGGGCTTTTATTATTTTTTGGGGCCACTATGGAAAGTCTAAATTTTCTTGGACTGGGGGCTCCAACAGCTCCTTCCACGCTGAAACCTCACCCCCACTAGCTTTTCCATCCCTGCGACCTTCACCATGAAGCTCCATGAGTTTTCCCAGTTCGAACATGGGCTTCCTCAGTATTCTGACTTCTCTAACAAAGACATCATGGAGCAAATAGATTGAAAAGACTTTTCTGTGACTTTCCCACCATTGTTTGGACTGCATGGATTTTTCTTTTCCAGAAAACATAGTCAGCACTCCACATCCCCCTGACTGCCTATCCACAGACTCAACCAGCCGCAAACAGGACACCCTATTTTTGACCCACAGCTGGGAATCCAGGGATGTGGCAGAATGATGGACGCGTCATCCTGTGCTGTTTCATACAAAACCCTCAGATTTGGCTGTCTGCAGAAACGAGGGGCCTAGAACCACTCCCAGCAGATATGGAGGAACAACTGTAGGCAGGTGTTGGCGGGATCAAGTTATGCACAGGTTTCTAACTGTGCAGGGACCAGAACCCCCGAGCCCCTTGTTCTAGGATCAACTGCACTGGCAGTGGTCCCTGTGGATTGCAGGGGGCACGGGGATGTACACCAAGCTCCAAAACACATGGCCTGCTTCCTGTTCATAAAATCAAGACTCACTTAAGGGTGAGCTGCTTAAATTCAAGCGTTTCTTAATCTTTTATTCTGCACAGGCCTGCAATTTCACAATGGCTTTAAGACCTCAACACTCACTCTAATGTTACAAAAGAAATTAGGGTTTCCAAATGTCAATAACTAAGTCCCGGATTTTGTTTCCCAGAATGACTGTGCTATCCAATCCTTAAGAGCAGAACTCATGAAGACAACGAAGAAAATGGATGTCGACTTAAGGACTTTTAAAACAAGCTCTCCACAATTTTCATTGCCAAAATCATACAAGCTGAATACTTCCAATGAGTGATCCCTTTTATAATTCAACCATGAAACTTACTTTATCCAAAATATCTTATTTCTGTACTAATTGCCTCAAAAATGAAAATGTTAATCGAAGGCCTGATTTTGCAAAGTCACGAAACTTTGCGTAAGTACATTTACCACCTTGTCTCCAGCCCAGAGCCTGCCACCTGCAGACGGTAACTAGACAGAGCACGCCAAAGGGAAACATTTCAGCAAAACGGGCGCGTGCTAAGTAACTAATGTGAAGAAAACAGTTACTGCGAACTTTCCCCCAAAAGTGCTTTTAGAAAACACCTTGTTCTAACATAACCACACAAAAAACATTTCAGATTTATTAATTCAGCATTTGAGGCCTAATAGGAAATTCCTGTTTTTTCTTTGCAATTGGTTGAAAATGTACATACTTGCAATTTATAAAACAAAGGAAATCAAATAGTTCATGAGTCATGGAAAGGTCTATCCCAAAGGAGCAGACTCAGTTTAAAACAAAGGCTTGATAAGAAAACAGCTCCCATGTTAAAACACTGAAATGTATCCTCATCTCGTTCCATAATCCATCGGTTACCCCGAATGGAGGGTCCACTGGCCAGGGTGCACACTGCTCCGTGGAAGACGGTGTCCCCTGACACAGGATAACCACTGTTTCCTCACTTTGGGGAACTTCTACTTTGGGGCTCCGGGAGCACAGCCCCCCGAAGGGCCACATGAGACACCAGCTCACTGCGTCCCCAGCCCCAATCTAGTGGTACCTTCAACTTTTCAAGCTCTGAGTCGCCTCCTGACCAGCAGCTGCTCCCACTTGTAAGGGTCAGGATGGCAGCACTAATAACAAGACAGGGTGAACGGAGACTGTGCACATGAAATAAGACATTTATTACACTGAACAACAGATTTTATTTTTCATTTTCCCAGAACACCGCAGTAGCGCACAGCATCGTCATGCGGCGTGAGCTGGTGCGTGCGATCCACAATCCTGACGCAGGCTGTCTCACTGCGGGACTCCTTAAAAACTGACCCTCCGAAGTGACCTTTACCAGTCAGTCATCGACTAACAACAAAGAAGGAGTCTCACACTCACTTCTGTTCCTGGTGACACCGGTTGGTTGAGAAGGGTTTACTCTAAAGCTAAGTCTAATATTGCAACTTTCACCATAGGGCCTCCATGAAAACCGCACTTCAAGTGGTAGGAAGGGGAGGTGAGAACAGAAATCAAAGGCTGCTGCAGACGGAAGTGACTCCACAAAATGCAGAAACGGTCACCGCGCGCCATCGACTCAGCAAGGCCTGGAGCAAGCACGGAGGGTCTGGCGGCTGCGACACCCACTCCCACCAGACAACGGGACACCCTGCAGAGACAGCCTCCGGCGCGGCCGCCCCTCAGGGTGGGTGCTGAAGGTCTGTTGGGGGCGTCATGTTAACTCTTTATGGTCTAATCTCGTGTGGGTCAGGACACAGTCGTCTTCTCCTGGAAACGGTCTCCCGACCCTGAATGCCTTTCGGGAACCACGTAATTAAAACTGCTTGAGAACTGCCTTCCACGCCAGCCAGCTTCCCACGAGTTTCCACTCCACTCCCGGAAGTCCGTCTGGACTCACGACCCAGAGCAGGGATGTCGCCGCTGTCCCATCTGCATCAGACTTCGTGGAAAGGCCGTCCTAAGCCAACTTTTAAAATCACTCTATTTCTAATGTTCAGCTTGTGCCTTAACTGCGGCGTAACAGCTCTGCTACTTGAAAAGCGCACTCGGCCTGAAGCCCCAGTGTTTCCTGCGGGTCACCTGCAGCCCTTTCTACACTTGCAAGCAGTTTCCTGTCCTCGTCTGTTGGCTCTGAAAGTGCGGGCTTTGAACGGCCGGGGGAAGCACCCTCCGTCCCATCATTCAGGAGCACGTGGGGATCCACGTGCAGCGGCAGTGACAGGACAGAACGCAGGCAGGACGGTTCTGACTCAGAGCCTCTCATCTCAAGAGCAGCACGTGGCTCATCCTCAGAGACGCCCATTTCTGACGGCTTCTCGTGGCACCGCAGTCCCAACCCCCAAGGCTCTCCTCTGCAGCACCGTCCCCTGTGGCTCTCAGTGGCCCTGGGCGCTCCTCTCAGCCAGTCCCTCAGCAGGGCACCTTCCACACCACAGGAGCCCCCCGCGACACACTCTTCTGCAGGAGCAAAGAACAGAGCCACGGTCTCGCTCTGCGCCACCGGGGAAGCGCAATTCCTTCTCACTGATCCTTTCGAACGTGGCAGCGCCGTGGTGCCACTGGGAAGCAAGAGGCTGGCCTCACTGCGATCGCTTCTCACTGCCGATGATGACATCTCACCGTGTGGATTTCCATGCAGACCAACCGCAGGCTTCTTCGCCCAGGAAGGGGCACCGAACGGGTGGGGGCTCTCCTGTGTCCGAAGGCTGCGCGGCAGCTTGTCCGAGTCCTCCCCCTGCACTTCTGCGAGGCAGGCGCCCAGGGCCCCTCTCCTGTCCCTCATGCCGTGTTCTCTGATGCAGTGAGCCCAAGGACACACCTGTGCTAGTCGGTGGAAGGTCTTCAATGGATCTCAATATGGACCTGGAAAAGATAATCAAATTATTCTTTCCTATAAAACATTTTACTCGGAAAGAAAAACATAACTGAATCAGTGTTACAGAGGGTTCTAGGAGAGTCACACTCAGCTATATGCTAACAAACGTGAAGGCCTCTCTCGGCCCCTCATACTGGGTCCTACTCCCGACAGGAAGAGGATGACAACCTGCCTGGTGAAGATCACAACAAAAGGAACGCTGCTTTCCGGCTGTGGTTTCCCAAAGTCACTCAAAACAAGAAAGGCGTCCGAGGTTTGTATTTTTCACAGCAGGGCAGGTGCTCGTTCGCGTAAGCTCGGTAAGAATCCCTGCCCCTCTAACCAGTGCGTGAGGGGATGACGTGATGACGCCGCCGAGGCCTCACCTGAAGTGTCCTATCGGAGAATGACTGGCAACGACAAGCCACTCATAAGCAACCGAGGTCGACCTGGCTTACGGAGCCAGGGTTTACAAAGCCCTCCTGGGAAGCCCGCCTGGAGGGCCCTGGCGTACAAGGTCCAGCCCCAGGTGGCCAGGAAGGTCACCTGTGGGCAGGTAGGAACCTCGGCAAATTCTGGAGCCTTGAAAGGAAGCCTCCAGCCGAACTTATAGGCGCTGCGAGTAGAACTATATGGAGAAAGCTTCTGAGCTGCGACCCCACTCTCAGGCCAGCAGGTAACAGACGCTTGCAAAGCCCCATCTGAGATTTCGCATGAAAGCTTCTGGAGAGGAGCTGATTCGTGACCTCAGCTGCTGTTCAAGAGCAAATGCAAGGCGGCCCCCACTTAACGCTCTTGCTGCGCTCATTAAACCCAGAGACCAGCCTTTTTCTGTGACCAAGAATAACCTTGCTCTGACGTTACTACGCCCTGAATGGGGAAGAGGTAGGAGTAGATGTGACAGGCTTTGAAATGGACCAAAACTGAGATCACCGGGTGCGCTGGCCAGTGCGTCCTCCGGGCTAACTTATAGGGCCCTGCACCTCTGTCTGAGCTGCTATACAAGGCTCTAAGTTGTAGGGATCTCAAGAGGAAGGCAAATGGTTTCTTATCCAAAGAAATGAAAACTAATTTTGTCTGGAAGAATGCCACATATTATTGCCCTGTGGACACTGACCAGTTTTACACCTTTTTTGTAAATTCACCTGAGCACCCCTGAATACACGTGTTTTTGTCTAAGTTCTCCTTTAAAGTGATTATGACATTGTACTAATTCCCTTATTAATTGACAAGTTAAAAAAACCTGATGCCTGTTCCTTTAAAACATAACCATGACCCAGAACAGTAATAAATGAAATATAAGGGGATACGTGTGGCATGTTCCCTAATTTTCCTACGAGGCTGCCCTAAGGAGCAGCCGCCTGACCCAAGTGCAGAAACTCTAACAGGAAGAAGGCGGCAGCCCGCCGGCGGAGGGAGCGGCTACTCACCTCCTGCAGGAGGCGGAGACAAAGCCCACAGGCCAGCAGTGCAGCAAAACCTCCCCCAGCACCTGGAGACGGGGTGCCACCAGGAGAAGCTGAGCGTGGCTGGCATCGGGGATGGAGCCATGGGGACAGGAGACTGCTGTTCCTCTTAACCAACCCTGTGGAACTAGAGGCTCTAAGCTATACGACAGCACATGAGTATGGAATTTTTTAGAACTGCAGAGAGTCCACTGGGAAGAAAACGAAGCACGTAAGTGTTACTGGAGGCTGCAGGAGAAGGCACAAGGGCTAAAGCTGGAGCGCCAACCAGGGGCCGAGGATGAGGCAGGGCCACTGGCGCCAGGAGCCTGGACCTCCTGGGCAGGGATGGAGAGACACGGGAATTTCTAGCCAGGAAATGTTGCTAGGTTTGCCTTTAAAATTAATTAGTCTGGTTGCAGTGCGGTGGCTAGACTGGAAAGGGGTCACACTGGGCCAATTAGGAGGCCGTTCCAACAGCGCCAGAAGAGAGACGACGGGCCTGTCGGAGCAAAGGCGAGAGGGAGAGTATCTTTTTTAAGTTAGTGGCAGCCAGATGTAGAAGAGGGTGAAATGATCCACAGATTTCTTCTGACTTTCAATTCTGGGGGATGGTGTCATTAATGGAAAACGGGGAGGAATTCAGATGGGGACACAGTTTGATGGTGGGACTCCGGCAAGCGGACGAATTAGTGAAGACTTCACCTGAAGCGCTGTCAGAGCTGGAGGCTGAGACTCAGCAGCGGCAGGCTTTGAGGGGCCGAGGCAGGGGCGGCCCTCCTGTGCCGCACAGAGACAGTGCGGACCCGCTGAGGTGCACAAGGCCAGGGTCTCTGAGGGCCCCCAGGGAAGAAGCCAGAGTCTGCACCAAGTGCTTTGAAAGGAGGGGGTTATGTGTGTTTCCTGCGTGAACAGCTTAGTTAGCTCCAGGTCAACCTCGGAAAACTGCACATGGTCTTCCAGCCAGGCAGTTGTTATATGGGGCAGCCCCAGTTCGATGAGCAATGGGAGAAAATACGGAGCATCTTTGATTATTTCCATCTCACCCCTTTTTAACTTTTTCTATGCTTAATAATACATGCATATTTCACCCTGGCTGATGTAGCTCAGTGGATTGAGCGCGGGCCTGCAAACCACACGATCATGGTTCGATTCCCAGTCAGGGCATATGCCTGGGTTGCAGGCCAGTTCCCAGCAGGGGACACACAAGAGGCAACCATACATTGATATTTCTCTCCCTCTCTCCTTCCCTTCCCCTCTAAATATAAATGAATAAAAATCTTTAAAAAAATACACACATATTCTGATAGAGCAAAATACATAGTTTATAAGGATACATGTATAAACAGATATGTATGTATATACACATGTGTAGAATTGTGTATAGATATGCATATATGTGTATATATACATATATGTGAGCTGCACTCAAAAGTTTTGCTAGCAGTGTGACCACTACTCTACATCACAACTGCAGAACAGCCTGGCTGGTGGTGTGGCTCGGTGGATTGAGCACTGGCTTGGGAACCAAAGGGTCATGCGTTTGATTCCCAGTGAGGGCACATGCCTGGGTTGTGGGCCAGGTCCCCATTAGGGGGCGCATGAGAGGCAACCACATATTGATGTTTCTCTCCCCCTCTTTCTCCCTCCCTTCTTTCCCCTTGCTCTAAAAAATAAAATCTTTTAAAAAAACTGAAAAAGATATTTGAACAGTACAAAGCAATATACCAACACAGGGTGTAATCTTTTCCCACTGAGATATAAGTGGCATAAGACTGTATTAGCTTCAGGTGTGTGGCACTCAGCACCCACATACTGCACCGTGGTCACCCAAGTCACCAGACAGTGCCACACACATGTGGTTTTTCCCTTGTGATGAGAACTTTTAAGAGGCACAAATCTCTTTTTAAAGATTTTTATTTATTTATTTTTAGAGAGAGGGGATGGGAGAGAGAAAGGGCGAGAAACATCGATGTGTGGTTGCCTCTCGCACACCCCCAAACGGGGACCTGACCCGCAACCCAGACATGTGCCCTGACTGGGAATCAAACCAGCAGCCCTTTGGATCGCAGGCTGGTGCTCCATTCACTGAGCCACACCAGCCAGGGCAATAGGTACAATTCTTACAAGTGTGAATTCTACTACAACTTAAAAAATACTTTCAAAATTTACCAAGTCAAATATAATTAAATTCTCTTGACAGTCTCTCTCAAATTAACTTCCCAAACCACATTCTTCCAAACCTTACACTTATTTTACTAATTTGAAATGTACTAAGAATGAACACTTTCCTAAAATGGAAGCATTTCCAAATATACTTTTAATACACATTAATACAGGTTTTAAAAAATTCTTAAGAAAAACAGGTCATCTAATGCGGGCCAACCCTCAGGGAAATTAGTTGCTAACCACTTTTGGTAAGTCCTTGCATAACTAGGGCTATTCAGAAAAACAGAGACCCCAGAGTTGTGCTAACATATTTTAAATAAGGCAACACCGATGAAGTCAATAAAGTAATCATATATTTAATGATGACAGAATACACGTTTTGCTAAAGACCGTCTGGCTCTACTGGATTAACGAAAATCTTCTGGGCAGCAAAACCACCCCGGCTTGCTTCTTCAATAAAGTAATCATATATTTAATGATGAAAGTTTTGCTAGATCTGCTCACTGGATTCTTCTGACCCCACAGCGCTGCACACACGCACAGCCGGAGAGCTGAGCTCCCATTCCTACACTCTCTACACACGTCGCTGTGTTACATACATGTAGGTGCGTTATGCTGTACCAGTGAAGTATGTGTGATCACCTAATAAACTGGCCTGGGCCCAACGGTGTCAGTGTCCCCCCCACCCCCCATGTGAAGTCCAGGAAGTAAGCGCATCAATTACGGCACGCAAACTTAGCAAACCGATACCCCTAGAGCGAAGGAAGGAGTCTATTCTGAAGTTCAGGCCAGTACAAGTCAGGAAAAACCACGGCAGGACTGGGAGCAGACTCCTGAGCTAGTTCCTTCACCACAACCCCCCCCCCAAAACATGGCAAAGGTTGAAAATGGATGGAGAGCGGCCAGGGGAGGCTGCACGGAAAGCGAGACAGCCTGGGTGTGTCCGGGCCACAGTGCAGACAGAAGTCACCTTCCACAGACACCCTGCCTGCCAGAGGCAGCTGCGTGACAATGGGCCTGACCCAGTTCGGCAGCTGCCGCCCTCCCGGACTGCTGTCACCTTACCTTCCCTAACCTGAGCTATTAATGGCCTCGGGGACCCGATGGTCTGGATACCACTGCTCCTCGAACTAAAAATACCCTGGCCTCGATGTTTCTGAAAGCCAGCTGGCAAGGCTGCTCCCAAAGGGGGCTGGGAGGAGACACAGCCACACCAACAGGGGCTGCTCAGCAAGGTCAACGGCAAGGGCTTGGCGTGGGGTCCTGCCTTAGGATGGCTCTCAAGCACACTGCAAGACCACCCGGGCCTCCTCCAGCTCTCAGATGGGAACACTACACACCTTAACACCCTTGTGCTCATGACTCAACTGATCGGACCGAGGAAGTGGCTGAAA